GTCAAAGAGGCTACTTGAGGGGGATTAAGCCAGAGGAGTGGGTGGCCCGGATGCTGGGGCCCCACGTTCATGGGCTTGTAGGTAGGGGAGAACTCCCACAGGTGATGGCTGATCATCTTGGGCTTGATATCCACCTGGGGAAGGCCTTGCTGTTGTAGATGCCCGCCATCTTGCGTGGGACGTTGCTATCCAGCAGGTGTGTGTATTCACCATCTCTGGCTTGTCTGTGGGCGGTGCCTCCTGGTTGTCTCTGCAGGGACACTGGGAGCAAATGCTGCTTCCACTGCTGTCACCGAGTCAGCTGCTCGGAGGATGTGTCCAGCAGCTGGTCTAGGTGTATGCTGTAGCAGGTAAACCTGTGAGACGTTTGCTGCTCCTCCATTTCCACCAACCTGTGTTTTTTACAAAAAGTCTCACTAGTGTTTTTAACATTTGTTTTTTGAGAGTGTGCGAGCAGAGGATCTGAAGCAGGGCCCCCACTGACAGGCTGACAGCAGCGAGCTTGATGTGGGGCTTGAACTCATGAACTGTGAGATCATGACCTGAGTCAAAGTCAGACACTCAACGGATTGAGCCACCCAGGTGCTCAGTTCTTAAAGAGAAGGGATCAAAAGGGATTCTTTGGGAAACCGTAGTCAAGAATATATGTTTTAGGGGTAGGTGGCCTGAATTTGGGTCCTGCTTCTGCCACTCAGCAGCTCTGTGATTTTGGGACCTTCCATTTTTTCATCTATAGAACAGCATGATTTTAGTGGTCTAATAGGATAGTTATGAGTTTAAGAATTTTTGTCAAGCAATTAAAACGTTGCCTAGGATGTTGGTAACAAAGACCTTTCTCTTTTAGGATGCTTTAGGTCCTCAGATTGGCCTTTTATTAAAAAAAAAAAAGTTTATAGTATGAAAATTACTATGTATGTATTTTTGCTCTAAATTAATAGTACTTAATTTTCTTTAAATTCTATTGGTTCATATTGGTATTTTACTTTCACTTTATAACTCTGGGATATGAGGTTTAATTGCTACTAATTTTGTGATTGTTAGGTTAAGTCAGTGAACATTTCTGGGCTTCATTTTCCATAACCCAGCTTTTTTTGTCTGCAAAATGGTGTTCCTAATAGGATTTACCCCACAGGATTGCTGGGAGGACTGAGATAATCATGTGACAGTCCTGCCACAGTCATGTGACATTTTGAGTTTTACTGTGGCAAAATGAGTGTGATGTGTGCACTTTGTCACAAGTTCTTATTTGTGGCCCAGGCCAGTAAAAGTTGGAATAATGTATACAATTAATCTTGTCATCCCCAATTTGTTCCCAGGCTGCCGCCTGAAAGATTTTGGAGATTTGAGTTTTACTCCAGTCCCTAAAGATGATCTCTACAACAACCTGATTGTGAATCCTCGCTCAGTGGGCCTTGCCAACCAGGAATTGGCTGAGGTGGTTAGTAGAGCTGTGTCAGGTGGCTACAGCTGTGTCACAGTGGGAGGAGACCACAGGTAAGCTGGGATCCAGGGTGGTGGAGGAGCTGGATAGTATGGTGTTTGTGGTCTAATGAGTTAGCTTGTCTACTTCCTCACTTAAAAGTAAAATACCCTTCAGAATTTTGAAGCTATGACGTGCATAATAGTATCTTATGGCTTTCACTGTAGGACACATTGTGTAGTATGAGGACAAGTTCAGAGATAGACAATCAAAGTTTTTAGAAACATGCTTCTCTCTTGAACTGTCTTATGACTTTCATTTGGCTATTCGAGAGAATTGGAAGGATACATTAGTAGGCTGAATTGTTTTAAGCAGTTTTGCAAATATGTTCAGGTTCTCCACTTGCCATGTGAGTATGTTTTCTACCTTCAGAGTATGGACTCTAGGATCCTTCTCTTAGTGAATCAGCATGTACTTTATTGAGCACTGCTTGATGTCTTCTCAAGTAGTGCTAGGGACTGTGGGAATTGTGATTTATTAAGACTAGATGAAATAAAATAAACATGGGATTAAAATAAAATATTGAATTATACAGAATTTGAGAGAAAGAAGAGATCCTTCTGGGCCAGAGCAGTCCTATTTGAGCTAAGTGATGAAGGTTTTTGGCAGAAAGAAAAAAGGCATTAAAGTACTATGAGTACTGAGCACTTCATATAGATCTCATGATTAATCTTCATGATAACGCCATGAAGCAGATACAGTTTTACCTAATCTGTTAGGAACACTGAGGGACAGAGGTCAGATAATTTATCCAACTTCTAGAGCCAGGAAGTAGCAGAGGTGAGATTCAAATTCAGAGGGCAAATTCTGAAGGCAATTAGCTTTTCTTTTGAGAGTCAATCTAGCAACTTCCCCTGAGGTGCACACAGAGCTTTTCAGATCTCTTAACAGAAGTTGAATCTTTGTTACAACTGGAAATGCAGGTAGATCTCATTAGGAATAAAATCTCAGGTAGAATAAGACAGTAGCTAGGTTTTCTACAGTGATCCAGTTAAATCAACCAGAGGGTGGGCCTTCTTCCTTTTAGCTCAGTGTTATCTCTTGAAGTTCATTTATATTGACTTTCTTTTGGTTGTCTATTTGGGAACTGCTTATCAAGGTGATCATCATAATGTTTGGCTTTTCTTTTTTCTGTAGTTATCTACATTGCAGCCCTTTTCACTGTTCCTGATTTTTCTGTTCAGTGCTAAAACTAAGGCTATCTGGAAGATTCTAGAAAGGAAGGGAGGAGTGTACATATTGAACAGCTACTGAACATTTTAAAGGAAGGAGGCATCTTTAGGTCACCCTGTTCCATTTACACGATATAAACTATGGTCTTAGACATCAAACTATCTCTGACTTAAGCCAAGATTATTATCCCTTTCAGAAAAGGAAACTGTCTAGAAAAACTAGATAACCTGTGCTAGATCACAGCTTTCTGGAAAACAAACAAACAAACAAACAAACAAACAAACAGTAAAGCCCACCACTTTTCACACTAGACCATGCTATCGCGCAAAAAGTCCCTTTGTGGGGCATGGAGCTTAAAATGTTGTCTCATGCTATACTGACCAAGAAGGATAGCTGTACTTAGTTCCTAAAATGCATAAGCTGCACTTCCCATCTATGTCAAATTCTTTGGTTACTGGGAAGCTGGGCAGCTTTCCAACCACGATTTCATCAGCTGTATTCCTACAATGGAAACAGGACAATTAGCCCATGTACACAGAGTCCCAGGACAAGGAAAGGCAAAAAACACTGATACTTGAATGTCATGCTAATAGATAGAAGATAACATGCAAATAAATGTTTATTTAGTGATCTGATAAATGAGATCTTTAATTGGGTTCCCCTGTTAATGTCTTTAGCAATTTTGACTTTTCCTTTGAGGAAGTAGCACATAATCTTTCTACAAAGCTATAATGCTAATTTTTATCCTTAAAAAGTTAATAGAACTGTCTTTTTTTTTCTTTCTCTTTTTTTAAAATTTTTTTTTTCAACGTTTATTTTATTTTTGGGACAGAGAGAGACAGAGCATGAACGGGGGAGGGGCAGAGAGAGAGGGAGACACAGAATCGGAAACAGGCTCCAGGCTCTGAGCCATCAGCCCAGAGCCTGACGCGGGGCTCGAACTCACGGACCGCGAGATCGTGACCTGGCTGAAGTCGGACGCTTAACCGACTGCGCCACCCAGGTGCCCCTTTTTTTCTTTAAATAACTGATTCTTTGAAAGTAATAATTAGATCTCCCTGGTCTTCCTTAAGTATTAAGAAATATTTGTGAGTTGTTACATATAGAACATACCACTTAACTGGATTTCATTCATTGAACAAATATGTAAGGTCCTTTTCTGGGCCAGGACTAATATCAAATTTTAGGGAAAGCAATGATCTCTGTCAAACTAGAATGATAAGCAGTCAACAAATTTTGAATCTTTGGAACCTTCCACTTCTCCTTAACTCACTCAAGGTTAATCTTTGGGAACTATAGGCCGAGGACTGTTGGTCATCCAAATCCAGCCGCAGTCTGGGGCCCTGACTTTGCCCTGAGGACAAAGTGTGAACTGCACTGACATGAGGATATTTGTTACTGGTGATGTTTGCCAAGCAGAGGGCCTCGATTATCATGTTTGTTTCTTGTAGCCTGGCAATTGGTACCATTAGTGGCCACGCCCGACATTGCCCAGACCTTTGTGTGATCTGGGTTGATGCCCATGCTGACATCAATACACCCCTCACCACTTCATCTGGAAATCTCCATGGACAGCCAGTTTCATTTCTCCTCAGAGAACTACAGGACAAGGTTAGTGGGCTGAAATGAAAAAGAAAATTGAATTGCTTGCATGGATTATGCTGGGGCTTTGAGGAACTAGTTCAATACGATTTCTGTGAAGGATGGGCTGATGGTGGTGGTAGAAATGTTTAGTATTCCTTCATTTGTTCATCAAAATTATTACGGGCTAGGCAGTCTACTAGATGCTAGGGATATAAAGAGGACCAGGATATGGTCCCTGCTCTGAGGGAGGGTGTGTGTGTGTCATAATCTTGCAAGAAAGGAAAGTGGCATAACTCTAGTGATTGATATACCTATAGCACGAGGACTTCTTGGTTAGAGGTCCCCAGTCCTGCTTCACTCTCAGATCCACTGGTCCAGAGGAAAGTAAAATTATGATTACCTCTAGGTAATATTTTCCTAGGTGGTTTAGAAAACATGGGAGTCTATATTAGGTATAGACTAGAATCTGTGTATCCTTCCCCTCAGTGAGGGACCAAGTTAAAGCAGGATAGTACAAAAGTTATTCATTAGGCAGAATTCCTGTTTTGGCTGTAGGCAACATAAGATGGCAACTGGGTTTTGTTTCAAGAACCATTCTGTAAACAATTCAGTAATGTACAAAGGGGTGAAAAAGGGCTAATCAGCAGTGTTCCTGTTATTTAGGTAAGTTAATGAGAAACCGTGGCTACCTTAGAATTTTTTTTTTTATTCCAGGAAATTTGTGTTCTTCAGCTGCCTGCCTTCTGAATCATTTCTACTTCTATCAGTTCTTTCCCAGTGCATGTGTGTCTTGTGCTGCTTTAAGCATATCTTGTAGGTAGGAGGAGAAAGCAGCCTGCATACATTGAGAAGCACACAGTAATTATCTTGGTCAGACCAAGAATCCTTGATGAGTCTTGTCCATTCCTCTTTTGACAGGTACCACAACTCCCAGGATTTTCTTGGATCAAACCTTGTATCTCTTCGCCAAGTATCGTGTATATTGGTCTGAGAGATGTGGACCCTCCTGAACAGTAAGTTGATACATTGGGGTTAAGCTTTGGGCCTGTCTCAGATATTTATGTTCCTTTTGATAGGTTGTTCCTTGCCTTAACCTGTTGTAGGTCACTATAGAGACAGACTCACCCCCAATCCCACCCCAACAAGGATTTGATTAAAAATGCTCTTTAAACTAAGGACTCCTTCCTTTATATCTCATCCAGTTTTATTTTAAAGAATTATGATATCCAGTATTTTTCCATGAGAGACATAGATCGACTTGGTATCCAGAAGGTTATGGAACAGACATTTGATCTGCTAATTGGCAAGTAAGTAACTACAGTGGATGTCTACTTCCAAAGGGAAAAGTCCCAAAGGGAATAGGGAAGACTCCCAATGAACAACACACTTTAGCCCATGTCTTGAGGATAGCAGCTTTTTTTAAAATAAAAGCAAAATATGTACACATACAAAAAAATTCAAATAATTTGGAAAGGCAGAATATGAAACATAGGTCATATTCTTCCTCTGGGATTGGGAGGGGGTTTCCTTGAAGTCATTGCCCAGCTCCTCTGTCTCTCATGAAGTTTTTTTTAAGTCCATTTTTAAGTCTTATCTTTTGAGATGAGAAGTGTTTGTTCAACTGTTCCATTCTTTCCTAAGCTCACAATTGCTTCATCTGAAAGTTTTATATTGAGCAAATCTTGACAGTATAGCTAGAAAGATGGCAGATGAATGCCAATAGATGCTAATTATAAGGGCATTTCCTCAGTGTGGAGTCTTTATTTCCAGGTGATTAATGGCATACTATCAGGTAGCAATTACATTTCTTAAGCTGTTAAGAAATTTAGTTATCTAGCATATATGTGTTGTATGCTAGTTTCTACTCTTGGAAACCAGGGTGAAACTGAAATTAGAATTGGGTGATAAGATTATAGACCTCAAATCAATTAAGTTCAGCTGCTATTATATGGAGAGACTGAGCAACTGTAACCTAGATCAATCTAGGAAAAGTGAAGAATTCCCTCTATTGACAGTTGTTAATGTGAATGGCTCTAATGCCTAGGTTAAGTCATAAGTATAAACTGCAGTTAATCTGTCTGAGGCACACAAATGGCAAAATTATGACGTGGCGTGTAGAAAGCTAATATAGTAATACACAGTAACATCCAGAATAGGAAACCTGGAAATCTGCTGTATTAGCAAAGTACCAGGACTAACAGCAACAAAATCAAGGAACTAAGACTGTAGGAAGGATCAATGTCCAAGTACACCCAAATGACTATTCTCTTATCCTCTTCCTCTCAAGAAGACAAAGGCCAATCCATCTGAGTTTTGATATTGATGCATTTGACCCTACACTGGCTCCAGCCACAGGAACCCCTGTTGTAGGAGGACTGACCTATCGAGAAGGCATGTATATTACTGAAGAAATACACAATACAGGTAAGAAGTGATCATCCTGTTAACTATGGAAATATGCTGACCCTCTAACATGCCAAAAGATTTTCTTCTATTCCATGCCATTACAGATACGATATTTCTTAAACTTTTATAACTGAAAGTCAATTGGTCAGGCTAATAAGGGATGGTCATTTATAGGCATATTTTGACTTGGATCATAGCAAAATATGCGAAGGTAATACTGAATAACCTGCCAAACTGATATAGTCCTTTGCATCTGAATTGTCTAAAGGCTAAGATTAAAAAGCAAGGCCAAGTAGCTATAATTTTTACCCTGACATTAAAAGTTAGTTCACTTGGAATTAAGAAGGTAAAGGGGCGCCTGGGTGGCGCAGTCAGTTAAGCGTCCGACTTCAGCCAGGTCCCGATCTCGCGGTCCGTGAGTTCGAGCCCCACGTCGGGCTCTGGGCTGATGGCTCAGAGCCTGGAGCCTGTTTCCGATTCTGTGTCTCCCTCTCTCTCTGCCCCTCCCCCGTTCATGCTCTGTCTCTCTCTGTCCCAAAAATAAATAAACGTTGAAAAAAAAATTTTTTTAAAAAAGAAGGTAGAGTTAAACCTTCTGGAAGGTAGTTTAAAGATGGACAATATCTTGGGTCCTTTCATATAGGATAAGCCTTATACTAGAGCTTGATAGTTTATTTTTTAAACTTT